GTGCCTTGATTGATAAGTTCAGCAGCAACGAGTGGTTCAGGCCAATCAAAACTTGTCATTAGATCTCCAGTGCACATCTGAATTTCGATCATCAGTCAGCAAAAGCATGTCTAAATAAGTAATGAGCAATAGCCCCAAGTTGGTGTCTGAAACCAAGAAAGAAAGAAAACCGAAGTGTCAATGTTAGAAAGGCAGCTATTCATGACCCGTTGTTTAAATGAAAAACTGGTCATTGTCATCGTCACTATTGCACGTTGTGACTTCGAGACTGCCCGTCTACAAATAAGGGACAGGAATTAAGCGAGAAGTATGTCTCCATTCAGGAAGTAGTTCGAGAGTAAAGACGTTTCCGATAAATCGTGTATGACTAGAGGTAGTCAGATCCTGCAACAACGGCACTAGATATCAGACCGGTTAGATGAAGCCTTGTTTCGATGGGAGCTCAAGGAGAACACGACTGTAAAATGGTACAGCTAGCAAAACAACGAATGATGAAGATGGATCGTCGAATCACTTTAACAGGTTTTGGCCTACGAGATCGGAAGAAATGTTCATTACACCCACAAGGTACTGTGCCTGAGGGCTATGAAAAAAGTCGGAAGATGTCGTGGAGGGCGTATAATTGTACTCTAGTGGGCCGTCGATGGTGAGGTACCGGCTCCCCTGCATGAAGTCCGCTGGGCGTCTATCCTGTCTGGTCGTGATGGTTAGGTTCACTTGAGATGCTACAATCTCCTCTCAAGTGTCGTGGGTGTCCTCATCGGTAAATGTCGCTGAAGGCAAAGCAACAGATTCATTAGAGTTCGTCGGGCAACCGGAAGACGCTACGAAAAACTCCCCTCGATGTCATGAGAGCGCGGTAGTCTTCGGGGTGGGTCCGTTAACATTTAAGCTGAAGTGAAAGATCTGCCGCAGACAACGGAAGCAGCAGACACTGGCTTGTCGACTCGGTGGTGGACTAGGAGATGTCTTACGTGATATCCACATTGGCAAACCAATCCAGCCGCATAAGTATGGGAAGCCAGGCAGATTACACAAGCGTGCAGAGTGGTGAAGGCAGAGGGGGAGGTGGATGGGTGAAGGGAGTTCTGTGCAAAATTCATGTAAACGGTGGTTGACTGAGTGAAGCGAGTGACCGTAGGGCTCGGACCGCATACACACAAATAAAGCCATGCTGATTAAGATAGGTGAAGAGCAAATAAGCATTCTATGGGAAAACCGCATAGTGTGCTAAAAAAGGAAACTATATAGTTTAGCAAACATACAAGACAGCAGTGGCAGTGAAACTGCACGTCGCAATTCATTCACACGACAAATGCATTGAAATGAATCTCCGGATCAATTATTGACCGTTACGACAAGCGTTGCCCGTCATGACCTAGTGGATTTAGGCGCGGTCACAACGTCCCGACTACGAGTAGTAGTCCTGACGAGTGCAACCACACCGGCCTTGCACTGCAACGTTGCGAGCGGATAACAAACAACATTCAACTGACGAAATCGGTTACAAATGTTCCACAATTAACTCAAGCGCCAAAATCCACCAGATCCAATTATCAGTAAAAAAAAGCATGATAAAAATTAACAGAAACCGATAAACGGAAAACCGAGGAAGATGATCGATGGATGTTTCATAATAGTGTGGACAATCCTTAAAAAAAGTTCAGATTTGTGACTGCATGTACACTGCCACATTGGCTTTACTGTTCCCCTGTAAGCTTCTATGGGTAACACGAAAAGGACTATAATTTGATTTTACGGTCCATAAAGCTTATTTCCAGATGCAGCGGATTGCCTAGAGAGTTCCTTGTGGATTTTATTGTCAACAAGCACCTAGACGCTTGTATCGATTTTCCTCCAAACGAACCTCTTCATCCACTACATTGTGACCTATCAAAAACATTACCTATTTCCTCTACCCGCTCCAACTTTAATTTTTCATACTGCATATTACCGCAATTATGTGCTACTGTACCTGTCCAGCTTGCTTGTTGACCTAACCAAAACTACCGGTATGAGTCGGAATTATTTGCTCGAGTGATAAGTGTAGACATTTTTACGCGTTTTACTTTCTATGTAACAGTAATTTCAAATACATCACCATCCACAGTGATAGTGTAACATGTTGAAAGTTCACATACCCGGGTACATAAAGACTACTTTCACATGACTTGAACGTCCAGCAGCTGCTTCACAAGACGTTGCCACGACGTCATCTGGTTACATCAAAGTTCTTAAAGCTAGGTGCCTTAACTATCCCGATCTGATATATTCATACACAGACCCAATGGGGCGTTGAAGGGAAGGAAAACTAAAATGTCGAGGCAAACAAGAACGTTTTAAGCTCATTAACTCAGATTTCTGGGATGCGAACGCTGGATGAAATACTTCGGATAGTAATCAAGAAGATCCACTGTGTCAACACACCTTTCTGGAGCACCTGAACGCAACAAAACTGTTGCGGTCACGAACTCGAACAAGCTGGAACCGACTTGCATTTGCGCCGTTAGTGAAGGGCGGTGGCAAGTTACCAGCAGTTGAACTGATAGCGATGCTCGACGCCAAATGATGACGGAGATTATGTGCCTTTAAAATGGGGGTCGTTCGTCTTTGTTCTAAGTATAAAGAGAATTAAAAATGGCATTTGGAAACCATGACCATATCAGCTACATTATCGGCACTTACAGACTACCCATGGTCACCATACTCTAGCGGCTCGATGGCCTTCGCATTACCATTCAACACGCTAGCAATAGGTGCCGATGATATTTTAAAGGGCCAAATATGAGCATAGTAGCATTCGCCTCTGTTAAGGATGCATCGACCACAGTTTGTCAGCTGCTTGGAAATCCCAGCGGCGTGCCCCAAGGCACTGTACTGGGGCCGATTTTGTTTCTCATCAATGTAAACGATGTGTCTCAGTTACTCCAATCACCCTGTGCGTTGTTCGCAGATGACTTGATTTACTTCAGCAGGATCTCGATCGCCTCTCAACGTGGTCTGCAGGGGTCAACCTTCCGATCAACCCTGTCAAGTCGTAATTCATGAGGCTGGGTAAGTGTGAGCACAGCCGAACCTACACGGTGGCTGGTCAACCGTTGCACCCCGCGCCTTTCTTGCGCGACCTCGGTGTACTCTCAAGCTGCTACCTAACGTCCACTGACAACACGAATAGGCTGTACCAAAACAGACTTCGGATGCTTTGCGCCCTTAGGCGCAGCTTCAGCACTTGGTTCGAAGAGATTGCCACCCGCCTCTTCGTCTCAATAATACAATCAATGCTAGAGTACGGCTCTCCCGCGTATTGTCCCATCACCCGGGGCGAGAGAGAAAAGCTTGAGCGGGTACAGCATGTAGCCACCAGGCTGATTCCCAACTTACGAGGTGTGCCATAGGAAGACAGACGTAAGAAACTAGGGCTGTACACCCTGGCTTATCGTCGAATGAGGGTTGACCTCATCATGACGCACTAGATATTACACCTGAGTGATTACCCCATGTTGAGACAACTGCTTCATCTGCGCACACCAAGCTGCATGCGAGGACACCGGTATAAACTTGTTGTACCGGGATTTGAAGCGCGTCGCTCACCATCTATATTTTGAACGCAGAGTGGTGAATGTATGGAACAACCTGCCGCAAAACATAGTGGAGGCGAACTCAGTGTCGGAATTTAAGAAGCTCCTTGACAAACACTTTGCAGACGCAAAATATACAGAGCGGAACACAACATAACGAGTATATGTCCAAGAGCGACGAATGATGCAGCTACACAGAGAAAGCTCTACTCGCTGCTTCGAACCAGTAATCAGTAACCACTGGAATGCACTGCTGTTTTGATTGCCTATCCAGTTTTGGAGTTACTCTACTTTCAAACGTGTGCCTGTGAATGTTCTGATTCTGATATATTTGAGCTGCGGAGGGTGCTCGCTTGATTCTGTATGAAAGGAAAAGAAGGAATCCGTAGTACAACGGTAGGTCGTACTAACGCTTCACTGGTTCCGGCAGTCATCTGTGGCCTACGGATAGTACGAGTTTGAGCTAGAAACGGTGATCCATAGATTTAAAACCAGACGTTTGAACCAATCCGCCGTCGACAGAATAGTTAGTCACACTGAGCGAAGTCCTTCAGAATAGCCATAAATCACCAGTTCCGTCCAATTTATGGTCGAAATGCTTCTGCGCGACTTCAGTTTGTTAATGTACCCCCCAGATGACAAAAAGCTTGGTGGAAATCGGATCCAAACCCTACACACAGGTGCCCCTACATAAGCTGATGGTGCATGTTGCATTTCTAAGGTTTCACTGATATGTTTCGGGATGGAAAATCGCATTGTTCTTATTATGTAAAGGCCTCGTGGAGCAATGGAACAATGATGGAAGGTAAAGTGTTGTGAATAACCCCGGAAATGTAAATCGAGGCTGCTGCTGTTGGTTCCTTTCGTGGTGGAATTAACCAACAACTGCGATTAAGGTGCGGATTTCAGTTCAAGCCACCATGCAAAATGAAAGATAGCACTACTCAAATCAACCGGTAGAAAAGCTGTTCCAATTTAAGCGATGATCCACCTGAAAAAGGATAGCAGTTTCAGGACCACAAACGGCACATCAGCTTTTGAGTTAAAATGAGACAAAGCGAAAAGGATTAGCTCTTTACTTATTCTTGACTGTAAGGTAGAAAAACGAGGGTAAGAAAATGGTAACAAGTATGAAAATCACAGCCCTGGAACGGTGTACCAGCTGGTACTCGAAGCTGGTACTCAAAGTGCATCTGATCGCAAGTGTTGCTGCATAATGAAAGGTATGAGACACTTTTGCCTGTGAAAATTGCCGTGTGCTGCGATCTAGTCCGATGAAGTAAGAATGTTTCAGGATGCGAGCGGGGGAGGGGTCCGAAGCACAATAAAATGATGACAGGAGAAATGAAAAAGGCATCAGCTGGATGTCCAAAACGTTAGGTGAGAATGTGTTGTTAGAAAAACGACCCTTGGCCGTAATGCTTAATAAAACAATGCCGGTTTCTCTAAATATTTGAAAACGCCATCTTTTAGGAGCCGGTTGCGCAAGGTACAGAGCTCTAGGCTCAAGTGTTCCACTTCTGCTGTTTTCAATGATAGCTTCTGTTCCAAATCAACCGCGTTCCTCCTCATTGCGTCCATTAACTGATTTGCTTCAGTTAGCATTGCACGCAAACCTACAAAATAAAGGTGCATCGAAGAGTTCCGACATAAAGGTAATTGGGCAACGAACGTGGTAACAATTGCAGATAGCAACCTGAAATCAACTAGAGGAGAACCATCGTACTTCTGACACGAAAGCTGCCTGAGTGCGGAAAGCTTGTAATGGAAAGACCGATCGTGCGTGTTAATCGTTCAAGTTTGTCTCCCACAAGTAGGACATAATACGGTGTTTGACATATAACTGGGTGGTGAGCTCACCGGAAAAAGTTGGAATAGAACAATCGATTGTTGATAAGTGAGGAAATGGCGGTACCAAAAGACTACTGAGGCACTACTAGCGACTTCATTTCCGTTTAGAAATCTAGGGTAATGTCAAAAAATTTAGGAGGGACGCATCAGATCTCATCAAATTGGACTGACAAGATCAATGCGGAGTGACTGCCTCGACGCTCAACAGAAGGTCGTGATGGGCTTGAACTGAGAGATAATGAGCAGCATAGCAAGTCAATGCTAAATCGGAGGTCCAACTCGGAATGCAAGTTAAAACGGAATGAGATCCGGAAGAGGACAGGAGGCTTCGAAATAATCAGAGTGGAATCTATCGGACAACGAATATGTAGTGTGGCCTTCCAATACCACAAACAATTCCTTAAAAAAACAGCTCGCTACAGGCAGACACTGTTGAATATGAGCTAGGCTGAGTAAACTATGCGAAAGTTCTGTGAGCAAGGAAAAAGTGCATAGATGGTGAGCGACGTCGTGTCGAGACGTTTCAGCGTGTTGCAAGAGTATTCAAAGGAAATGTCAAAGGAAGATACGTAGACACAATATGAGTAAACCGAATAATGCCCATATAAGCCACAGTAAAAGAAATACCCTCGGTTACGGTAATCATTGTGGGCGGGTAGGTAGCTGGGATCCAAAAGATACTGGACAGTACATAATCGAAAGACGATTGTAAAGTACAAGAGATTGGTTCAGTCATCTAGTCGTTCGGTGCGGAGCATGTTTACATCCATTCGAAATCCTCCGGTTTAAAAAAAACCGGCCTGTAGCTTAGTAGTAATGAGCTTGTCCGGGAATCTTGCGACGCAGGTTCGAGACTGCATAGGGGCAGGGGGACTCACGAAGCATCCTTAGCCCGCTTGTGACCGGTGGTGTTTGCGCGGCAGCGAAGCGTCGGTACTGCGTACCGGCATACTGCTGATGTCCCCGTAATGTACAAACACCCGGTAAGTTGGGATTAATGAGTCGATCGTACGCAATGCTGCGAATGAGGGAAACAATCAAGCAGAGACGAACAGAGAAGTTAAAGAAAATTTTTCGGGAGCTTGAAGTACAAAACGACTTGCCTCTATTTTCCAACGCTATATCTTCATCCACGACGCCTGTAACAGACAAATAAAAGGGTAAGTCAAGAAAACGCTATCACCTTCGGGTGAACTATGTTGGGAACGTATTTGATTGCCATACACAAGTCGGGAGCAGGTGGGAAGGAGAATTAAGTAAAAACGGAAGATCAATAGAGGGTAGGAAAAGCATGAGAAGAAAATCAGCACACAAGACAAAGAAAAATACAAGTCCCAAAAAAATCATGAAGGAAAGTACCTTCTGACAATTTAATGTCAACTATATAGCGTACTCTGAAAAATTAGCGTGTAACTAAGATATCAAACACAACTTACACTATTAAAAGAGTAAAAGGCATTTACCAAGCAGAAAAGCCTGAACGGAATCAAATATAATCGCATTATTAGTGTGGTTGGCAAACTATGATTGGAGCACCCAAGTGCGGTGGATCCAGTTGCCACGACACATCGCAATAATAAACGGTGAGACAGTGCAGCTGAAGGCTAATAGAGTGTGAAGAAAATGGAAGCAAGAAGGAAGTGCGTTAAACTACTCGGAATGTAACCAGATACAACAAACAGAATGCGGAAACGCCACTGACTGTGTGAGTGCGCCGTGTCTGATAGGGTCTCCAACCATTGTTGTGGACGGTCCCGAGGCCCCCATTCACGAAGACGGTACGCACCAACCTGATCAAGTCTCTCAGTCAATTTCTTCATGCCCATATGCCACGATATGGATTGAACACCTCGCGGTTTCACCCAAGTTGGTGCAGCCAGTGCGTATAATGCACACCGAGGATGGCGGTCGACAGGCATATGGACGATATGGCCTAGTCAATGTAGGCGATTAAGATTCTGCAAACACTCGAGTGTAGAAACAGAAGGCTTCTTACCGAAAACCAACTGGCGGATCTCAGCATTGCTGGCCCAGGTGAGCAATACTCCGGAAGCACCGGTGGTTAAACACCGCAAAGCGTTTAATGTCTACGCCGAGAAGTGGCCAGGTCTCTGATTCACACAGCAAGACCGGCCTTATCGCATCGGTATACAGGATAAATTTCACGGACAGGATGATATCCCGCCGCCTTCATTGATGGTTAAGTCTCTGGAAAGCCACCCGCACTTTGCTGATAAGCGAAGTAACTTCCTCAGTGATGTGACTACCAGAGGTGACACAGCTACAAAGGTAAGTGAACAGACGCACCACTTCCAGTGGCTGGTCGGTGATAGCTAGAACCGGAGGAGTGTCGGTCCAGTCTTGCAGCATTACCTTGCACTTTGAAGGTGCAAAGCGACAGTCTATGCAACCGTGTTTTCATAGCCACTGCGTCAGACCCAAAAAGAGCTACGTCGTCCGCATACTCCAGATGTGTCAGTCGGTCAACTGGCAGAACTTCCACTCCGGTAGATTCTAAAAGAATGGAGTCACTCATGACCATTTCGATAACAAAGTTGAAGAGGAAAGGACATATCGGACAACCCTGGCGAACCTCGCTAGTCGTGGGAAACTCAAGAGTCAGTTTCCCGTAGACCTTAACACGGCCTCGGGAATCATGGCAAAGAATTAAGAGTGGAAGGGAATTTAGCTGGCACGTCCTTCGTGGATAAGCAGTGCCACAAGCTGACGCGGTCAACAAAGTCGAAGGCGGCTTTCAAGTTAAAGAGAACCACCATTGTCGGTCACTTGCATGTGTGTCTCTGCTCCAACACTGCGAAGTGTACATATGTGGTTGATGCAACTATGACCAGGGCGGAAGCCAGTCTGGCTTACAGTGAATCGGTTCTAACGGCGACCAGTAAGTCCTCGGAAAACGATACCTGTGAGGAGTTTGGATGCAATTCATCAAGTCAAGTCAAAATACGCTTTAGGAACCCTAATGGGTTCAATTTCAGCATTAACACCACCACTGCGGACACTTGGATGATAATATCACGATACATACTTGGGGAGAAAATGGGAAAATGCACAGCTGTTACTCCAACAACCGCTCGCGCAGCATGTTAGTGACTTTTGTTGTGTCAACAAGCAAACGTGGGAGATAAGGCAAAACAGTATTACGATACGATGACGTGCGGGAGAATAAAATGCTGAATTTCGAACCAGTAAAAGAGAAAGAGAGTTTCGGAAAGTTCATTGTGAGGTGAATGAAATCGATCAGTTAGTACCTTAGAAGAAAAATCATTGCAGAGCTCAAGATGTCTAGAAATAATCAAACCAACTAAAGTATCTCTAGACAAGCCGCTGCATCTAGCAATGTAGTTTATAGATCGCACCAATGAGATGTAGTCTTGCTGAAGCAGTGCAGGAAAGTTGACAGGAGAGCAGTATAACAAATGGGGAATAATATATAAGAGGTCACAAACTTGAATATTAAAGTACGAGGTACTGAAAGCACCTTAAGTCTGAAGGCATAAAAAGAAAGTCTTCTGCGTTTTTGAAAAGTTGTACAGACGTGCGTGGACCAAGAAAGATTCTGGGACAAGAGGCCGAGATACTTGACGGTGGAAGAGCTGGGTATGGGATTTTCATCCACAGGCTGAGGCTGAGACCAAGATGATTTTCGCACAAAGTACGCCGACCCTACTTAAAGATGGGCACGACAGTTGACAGCCGGGAGACACCTCTTCACTGTACCAAATCGTGTTAAATAGAGAGAAATGAGTCCAAGCAACAAAAAGCCACCACTACCTCTCAGAAAAAAATATATATATATATTCAACACTATACCAATTATAATAGAATTGGCTGAGTGCCACAACACATAAGAAGAAAAAAAGGATAGCGTGAAAGGGAAAACAACTGTTAGAGTAAAAGAGACTCACAGCAAGTGCGCCATTGCGTACGGTCCTTGGCCATATCCTCCAGCGTTTGCAACCAGGTGTGCTCGGGGTTCTTTAGGCTCCAACCCGGGAGTCGGGAACGTCCAACAACAGCCAGCTTCAACGTTTGCGCCTTAACGTATTGGATCAAGTTTTACATTGCCATCCTTTTCGCCGCTTCCGAGCCACGCCTGTGCTCGCAAATAGGGCTCGTCGCGGTAGCTGCTGGGTAGGTATGCGAAGCACATGGCCAAGCCAGCGAAAACTTCGCAGTGAGGTGATGCTATCAATCGATCGACGGAGTTCGTTAGATCCGAAGACTCGCCGACGGATTTCTTCATTATTGATGTGGTGCTGCCATCGAAAACCAGCGATGCTCTGCAGACAGGGGTGATCGAAGACAGATAGCCGCTGAACATCGTTTTGCGAACGGACCAAGTCTCACAGCCGTACAGCAGAATCTCTCGTACCGTAGCATTATAGACTCGTCCTTTGAGAGCGAGGTTGAGATCACGACGAAGTCGCAGGTGAAGAAAATTAGCGAAGGCGACTCTAGTCTTGGAAACACGCAGGGAGATCTCATCTGTTAAACCGCCAATACAACTCCCAAGATAAATGAATTTGTCGACCACTTCCAACGGATGCCACGAAAGGGTGAGAGAAGGATATGCACCTGCCCAGTTCTGTAATAGGACCTTACATATGGAATGGGCAAAGTTCAACCAAAATTGGGCGGCGGACATCTCCAGTCTGAGCAGCACATGCTGAGCGGCTTGGGAGGACTCGCAAATCACAGCGATGTCATCCGCGTACTCTTAGTCCCAAAGGCGGTCACCAGGGAGCAGTTCAACACCGCAGGACTCAGAGTTATCCAGGACAGTATCCAGGACCTCATCCATGGCGAAGTTGAACAAGAATGGAGGCTGGGCAACCCAGTCTAACACCGTTAGTGATACTGTAAGGGGGCGAAATTTCTCCGTATGCTCGCACGCGCCCCGAAGTTGGATGGTAAATATCAAGGAGAATGCTGATGTACCTCTCAGGTACCCCACTCTTCAGTAAGCAGTCCCAAAGAGCCACTCTGTCAACAGAGTCACAAGCGGCTCGAATATAGTCAACTGAACGTATGGTCAACTGAACGTATGGTGATGGTCAAGTATCTGGCGGATCGTAAAGATGTGATAGATGCAACCGCGACCTGGGCGAAATCCAGCTTGTTGTTCACGCAGGTGCTGTTTCCGTACGCAACTAAACCTCCGTAAGAGTAGGGCAGCGAGCAGTTTGGATGCAATACAAATGAGACTGATGCCAGGATGGTTAAAGCAAATGGTCCGGTCGTCTTTTTGTAAACAAGTACAACATCCAATAAATTCCAGTCAGATGGAATGGTCTCAGTAGTTTAAATCTGATGGAATAGAGATGTCAGTTCGCGAGTGAGAGCTGGACCTCCATATTTGAACAGGGCAGGAGGAAGTTCATCTGGTTCAGGTGACTTGTGGCGCATTAGTAGGGGAAGCGCATTGGAAACCCCAGCCTCTGTCGGTGGAGAAACATCCACGCACCAGGGAGCACTGTGAACCTCGGAAGATAGACTCGGTTGCGCTGCTGGCCAGTTGAATTGATCTTCAAAGTGCTTTGCCCATCGTACCGGACGACGGTGACGACTGTGAATTAGTTCACCGTCATTTTTACGCAAAACCTCACTCACTGTTGGTCTTCTGCCTCCCGTGGAGCGAATAAGTTGGAAGAGTTTGCAGGAGTTTCCTGATGAGGTTACCCGCTCCATCTCAACGGCGCGCTGTGTCCACCAAACCTCGCGATCCTTCCTGAAGCGCTGTCTGAGCTCAGCACCTGTGGTTCTGCGTAGTGCGTTGTATTCAACTCCGGCGGGAATTGTTCGACCACTTTCCATTAATTGGAGAGATTGTGCGGAGATCCAACGACTAACAGTTTGTTTAGTGAAGCCACAGACCAGGGTAGCGGACTTTCGTAAGGCACTCTGGATCTGCACCCAGTGTGTCTCAACATCGGAGGATAGAGAACGTAGATTGGAGGCTAATGTGTTTTGAAATGCGCCGAGAACATTTGGAATGGCGAGCTTGTCTGTGTCAAACCGTTTTCGGCAACGCTGTTGGTTGCCTCCAAAACGCAGAATGAACTTAGCACATACGAGCGCATGATCCGAAGTCAGGTAAGTGTACCATATTGACTTGCAGTCCGTTATGCAGCCTCGTCAACGGTATCTAACAGCGATGTGGTCAATTTACATCCAAGATTGACCAGGCGCCGGAGGTCGCCAGGTGGAGCCAGGAACGTCGAAAATTGGTGCTGGGGAGGAACAAGCCATGGTCGGCCACAATTGTAAGAGTCGATCGCCGTTGTCCGTCCTGGGAGTATTGTGACTGTATTGAACCCCAAGTTCGCGCTCATGAACCTCTAGTCTACCGACCTGCGCATTAAGGTCACCGGCCAGTATCACGATGTCCGTGCGGCGTTTCTTGCGGAGGAAGCCGGTGAGTTAGCCGTAGAACTCGTCTTTAGCCTTGTCCGGGCTGAGCCGTAGCAGCGTACGCCGCCACAACGAATAATCTGCGCCTACTGGTCCCGTGGCTGGAAGATCGCACTGAGCTTTCCAAGGGGACTGCACAAAGACGACTGTTGATCGGGAACCAGTCAATGAGCGCTGCCTTACCACGCGCACTTAACGCAACTCCTACGCCGGTACAACCATAGGCTGCCGCTGTTGCATCCCCGGATAAGCGCAAGGCGAATGTGCAATTGGAACTTGGGGATAGTGAGAGCAATCGCAGCGTTGTGCTGGAGTCTTGTAAACGGGTTTCGGTTAGGCAGCAAGCGTCGATTGAGAGGATTTCCAAGGTTCGCGTAAAAGCAGCTTCTGAATCAATCTGCATGAGCAATCGAACATTGAACATAAGTAGCTTGAAGAGCGAGCGGGGGGACAATAAAAACCTTGCTGTTGGTATTGGAATATGTGCGATCGGTTTTTAGCGGTTCATTGAGGAGGCCAAAGGTACCGTTTTTATTTGCAATGCGCTTTTGGAGACTCGAAATTGTAAAGGGGTTGCCAAGAAAAAAAAGGTGGAACGTAGTAAATGGTTTGCGGTGCGGTAGAGTGTGATTTATCATTCCCGGCCGACAGCACCAGGGCCAAAGAGAGAGAAAGAGTTCAGAGAGCGAGAAAGGTGAGCGGAGAGTTGTAAATGCATCATTTCATGTGTTGTGTGGGTATACAACATCCCCGTTGCCCAAGCCGAGGAAGCGGGTTGACTTAGGGGGCCACACCCGGAGTCTTTGGTCATAGGGACCTGAACTGCAAGACAGCGGGGTGAGTTCAGGAAATCGCGCCCAGTCTCATGTTCAATAGACAGGGAGCAAGAGAGTTGACGGGGGAGATAAGAATAAGAGAGAAGTGTGTATTGTCGACGAATTCGGGAGAGTAGATGATACTCTCCGGCTGACCATTCCGAGAGAGAGCCATTTGACATCAACCACGGTTAATAAATAAATACATCGTATTCCTCGACGGTGCGAGATACGGAAGAACTGATTGGTCTGATCACTGCACAACTAAATATGATGTGACAGAAGATGATTCGAGATTTTCGAAGCTGTTCGCGAAGCATATTTAGGGGTAACCAATCAGTTAAATGAATATGTAAAACGGAGAATTTGACGGTAAGGATAAATATAAGTAACGACGAAGCAGTACTAGACTACACGTCGCGCACCAAGCAGAAGACATGTGTTAAAATTTGCGCACCTAATCGTCAGCCCTCGGTAGCTCAGGTGGTAGAGCAGCGGACCGGAAATTCGTGGACCGGGGTTCGACGCCCCGTCGAGGCATATTATTGTGCGTGAATTTTAATCGTGGCTTCTACTTTCTTCGAACTTACACTACTCACAAACATCCACCATTAATCTATCTATATTTGTTATTGCGGCTTGTGCCAAATCCGCCGAGTGCATCTGTGAAGCTATCAAGGACACTTGCTAAAGTGAACTCAACATGTCATTTCACAGTGCTGTTAGTTCAGATATCGTTCTAACAACAGGGGCAGGTAATGTGAACTCCTCATAAGTTGTTGGGGGGGGGGAGGGGCAAGGTTGGCCGATAGTAGAAATGCGGCACGTCATTTTAGAATTAATGGGGTGGTGAACCAGTTTGAACTCACACTACGTGGACTGACTAAGCTAAGCAATCCCACAAGTAGCCAACGTTGAATGCTGTCTACGGTGGTGTTCATGCACAAAAGCCGACACTTGCTGTGGTGTTTACAAAAGAGGCCATTGCCTGATAATATGTGTCCGACATTGCGGACAATAACGAGGTGTACGAAAACTACCGAATGTGTGAATGTTCGTTACCAAGAGATTTCAAGTAGACCGTCTTTGTATGGAGAGTAGAGTGAAGGACAAGTTTCAAAAGTTCACAACTGCATGAAGAAGATTCCTTCCGATAAACCTCATCACGCATTTACGCTTATTTAACAAAATTATGAAGCGATAATCAAGGGAAAAGTGGATAAACTTTGCGTCGATGTTTCCATGATGGACGAGGTTCCGTGAACCACAACAATCCAGGGTAGAATTCAAATAGATCTAATGACGCGAGCCCCAGTAGCCTATTATTTGCGCAGGTAACCACGATCCACCTCATAGCCCAACGATGGTTGCTCTTTTAACCAACCGTATTTGCTTAACTAATCGAGGAATATACAGAGCATCATGTTCACTGAAAACATATGCCAATATAGTGAAAAGGAGACAGAGAAAGGGTAAATGGCCTGCCGTAAAACTATTAGCTCAATAAGACAACGAAGTCAGTTAAAAGGATTCCGTAGAAAAAATCAGTTCGTTGCAGAAAAGTGAGGCAGATCATGTGAGTAAAAGATTTCCTTGTGGACTGACTAGATCAAATGTGAGCAAAAAACCTAGACAGCTGACGGAGCCCATTGTGAGTTTGGCTTGAAGAATCCGTTGCGGGTAAAATGCAACATGAAATCTCAATCTGCAACGGGATTCACTGTAGTGAGTTTCGGCTAGGTCGGTAGTCACCAGGATGGTATTCGAAGTTGATGAATGTTAAGTGTAGCCAGCCTGTGACACGGAACACTACAAATGCTTTCGAACTTGCTTGCAATTATCAGGTAGAGATAGTGGGACTGCGATTTCAAGCAGGCACGGTAGAGAAACTATCTACGGAATAACAGGAGGAGAGCAGTCATTAGAGATACGAACAGCATACTTTTGGAAAGTTCAGAAGAAATGCTTCTAGTGGAATTTCGTAGGCGTTCACCAACACTCAGGTGATCATCTACTTTCAGTCGTTCTTCAGAGGAATCGGACGACTGAATAGGCTCCAGGTCCTCGGAAAGTTGCCTTGTGACAGACGCAGCATCCGGTTTGGGTCGGAATACGTCGATAGGCTCATGATCCAGCGGCTGATGAGGAAACAGATTCTCATCAGACCTTTCGTGTGAATCGATAGTCTCACTTGCTTCTCGAAGACTTTCAACACCGCTATCGTGGAATGATAATGGTTGACTGATGACAGAACCGGCATTTGAGGATCTCCGCTTCTCCAGCTGAGTTAAATCATCATGGAGTGCTGGAAAAGCAAGCATTTGATTAGTGTATATATGGTACAGAAAACATCTAGCTGTATTCATGGAGAATCTCAGTGGATTACAAGATGTACCACGATTTAAAGGGAGAAGACCGTGCACAACTAGTTATGACCAGTTACGGAACGATGTTGAGAAAGCAACAGACAGAAAGCGCGCCAGTTCCAGCAACAAGATGTAGTTCGAAAATTATTGTTTAAGTGTCATATTTCGTTCCAGATAGCGTGGTTAAGACCTTCGTACATAATATGCACCTACGTATACACGGGTAAAAATATATGTTTAAAATTGTGGCGCAAATATACAAATGCTCCAATTTGCAAAACTGACAAGCAAAGATCAAAATCTGCCGTCCAGTATGTTAAGAAATCCAGTACATCACTATCAACACAAACAATAATTTTCGGATCGAAATGCTTGCCTATATACGAAAGGAAAGGGATAGCGTACGTAGTAACAAAGTCTCGAAGTGTGTCGAAGAGCATTGCGCACACGCGGACACCAAGCACAGATGGCAGGGACATTTTCGCGGAAGACGCCTTACAGAGAAACTAATACAACAAACTAGAGCGCGCTGTGAACTGATCCTAGGAGGATAGTACAGAAACTACGGTAGTTTAAAATAATGTGGTGCGCAAGTTATCATGAGAGTTACCAGACTACATATGATGTAGTCGCCAAATGCTGCTTGGGTACATTACCGCAAGCATATAGGAGACTCCGAGTGTGGGAGGTAGACCTAGTGTATTGCACACGCAAACATCAATGGAACTGATACTGTGCCGTTATTTATTGATGAAATTCACCGGAGTCAGGAAAAAAGAAATTTGGTCTCAGCCCCCAGAGTTCGTTACATCGACCTTTCGAATGAGAACGGAAAACATCAAAAATAATACTTTCTGCTTCGACCAGAGAAAAATACCGACATAATGCCAAAGTAAAGTAGTTATGAGTAGAAGTAGCTCAACAATGACGAAGTGTAGATTTGAGACACAAGTAAAAATGGACATGTACTGTTAATGCACTACAAAGCCTGGCGAGCTCTAGTTAACGCACTAGATGTTCATGCTGAATGTACGCACACGAGCAAGGTGATCAATATCAGAGAACTTAGAAAAGTACAGGAATAAGCGGTACACAGACCTGACGATGTCAGAGCAAGAGTTCTCAATGAGTAGCACGAATGAGCAAGTCAAATACTGTACAGCACGTGATGGTCACCTTTGTGTTCCTCGGGTAAATCCACTTCTGCGGTGGTCTTTGGCATGACGCCAGGCCTGAGACGTGTTCTGCGCTCGCTTCGCCTATCACGAACGATCAAGCTGCTGCGCTGGGACCCAGTGCGACTCAAGACAGAAGGTGTACCAGATTCCGAGCTCATAGCAGCAGGAACTGAAAGAGAAAGTGGAAGCATTCAGTAGGACTAAAACTAATGATTTCCAAATTAGCTATAGGGAATTGTTGAGTGTAAAGGGAGAAACAATTATCAGGCATAAGGCAACAAGTTGGATAGCTAGAAACACACCAAGTGGTTAATGAAGGAATAAAAAACGAAGCATGACCGCTAGAAGTGGAAAAGACGAAACATTAGACAACGAGCGAGAACTTAGTCTAAACAAAGTAAAAAGGAAGCAGCGTACAAAAATGTGGCTGACGATTCCGCAAGGTGAGGAGTCAGAACACGCAAACGAGGTAATAGGTAGCAAGTAAGGATGGTAAGTTCATATACTAAAAATCACTTAAACATCATCATAACCATAAGCACTACCGTCAACGTGAGGTGATGTTTTGCTGCCACCCAACACAATGAACTAAGGGATGAAGAACAATAGGCGAGGGAGAAGGAGGACTTAGCACAAAACATTAGTGCTCTAAGCAAAGATTTAAAGCCAAGGCGCATATACCTTGCCAACAATACACCGTCCCAAACAGCTGGTAAACGTGGGAAGATAAAGCGTCATCGGTGAGAATGGCTTTCATTGTCCCGCGCCACGACGAGCTAGTAGCTCGCATAAGAAAGCTTTTAAATAGTCAGTCCGACTAAGAGAGAACAACAGACGCGCCAATGATGCCGACTGCGAACAATGCGCTGCAATGTCTCGAGTAAACCACAACGGGGGTTACGTCGACTCCAGCCTGGAAGGCAAGACGGACCTAGAGCTCCCAGCATCTTCATTTCCCGCTGCCAATCAAGTCATGCGCACCTCGACCCTAGCGCCACCCCCACATCTGGGAGGTAAAACAAGGCCCGGAGTAAGCAGTGACCGGGCCTACATAGTACGTGTTCAAACTAACGCTACTTATTCGGTGATGTTTGTTATCCTAAGGAATAAGTCTGATTATCACTTAGTAGTCGCGCACGCATATGCACGTCGCATACACGCTGGTGCCAAGTATGACATGACCTTCGCCTCATCGAAATGCAAGTAATGCCTCAGGATTAGCATCCACATGCCTTAATGGTGATACTTGAAGGTCATCGCGACGAGACCGGATCACAAGGTGCTGCGAAGAATCTTATGCCTCAATGATCCACTGAGGCATGCTGAGTGGTGCTTTTTGCACCTTCAGAAACGCTCATACTAGGCCTATCAATGATAAGATGCCGGACCAACTAAAGAACCTAACACTCCAGGTTGGGGACTGGAGTGAGGCTGACTACTTACTCCATAACACGGGCTCTTAGCAGTCTAGTACAAAGAGTTCGCTGCCTTGCGGTCAGGTTGAAAACCGAAGTTTTGGTTGAGAACCTTAATCGTTCTCTTATCTAACCCTACGCAGCCTGACAGTATCCTGTGCACGCAATACTATTTCTCTGGAAACAATTCCTTGATGCTCTGGCCGTCGCAGAGAATAAGTAAAGGCGCCCTATCTGTTGCATCGAGCAAAGTTGTTAAGCGTGAGAATACTAATGTTTAAGAATTCTCGTCATCCTCTTACACCTCTTATGCTTTTGCAGATTTATCGTCCCGTTCCAACCTCACGTTGATTCTTCCCGTTTTCAAACCCCTCACCCATGTTGCTTCCACAGGCATTTATCTTCTAGTTTCAACACACATGCAATCGCAGGGCATACTTCTGGTCCAGTCAAGAAGTCCATGTCCAATCAAGCGGACAACGTCAATGCACCCATTCCTAGTTGTAGCTCGCGATCTTCCCTCAGACTGGCAGGTCTCAACGTGCGCACTTTGTTACAGATTAGTCAACAAGCAACACTTGCCCGAACACTAGATACCCTATCGATCGACACCTGCTGCGTATCGGAAACCCACCTGCAAGATTAGAGAATTACGCCTACCCTGTGAACCCACATGCAATACTGACAACGCTTTTGCATCGCGTTTGTCTGGAGCTGGAGCTGTTTCAAACGCCGGTAAAGTTGGAGTGGTCATTAATTCGAGCCTCCGGGCTCAAGCTGCCCTGTTCGATTGGATCCCAATAAACACCCGGGTGTGTGCCGTCAGATTGGCCGATTTTTGCAAAGCTTCGAAGTCGCGCCGGAACAAACGGTTCCAGTTTGTCATCGCTGCATAGGCGAACACAAATTGTAGCACTGACTCGGTGAAAGAGGAGTCCTATCAACAAATAAAAAGCCCTTTTGTTACAGAAAAAGTGCGCAGAGTGTGGTGCATGCTGGTGAACTGGATACTCAAGTTGTAAAACTGAGCAATGATGAGCTGCCTCTTGGCGACCAACACGTGGTAGGATCTCGTAATGCTAAAGGTGAGCGATTTCTACACCACTGTGAAGGTGTTTGTCTATCTCTCGCGAACTTTAACTTGTGACACAGCATCCGCAGAACGGTGACAGTGCTCACCAGCCTCGGGCCAGCCATGGAAGTGAATCTAGAATGACACGAACAGTTACATCTAGCGAAGCGGTGTCAAAAGTTGTCACTCGATTCAAATCACGAGCGTGGACTCCGATATGCACACGCATGTGCCAATCTGCAGGTGCATTGCGGTGTACGTCCGTAACGATGTTGTGAGCACACAGACATCAGCGAAGTGGCAAAGCCAGATGTTCTGAATGCGTATCAAAGTAGCCGGCAACTGGGCTGAGTAAACGCCCGTTGAACATCGTTGAAGATCACTGGTCGCATATCCGCCAGACGTTGTCAGCAGCAGGCATGTCTTCATGTAGTTCTCAAGCTGGACATTGGGTCTCTACACAGTTGCTGGAACATCTGGATGGTCGCTGCTAGAAGCGAACACGAGAGTCGCAAAGATCTCCGAACAAAACAGCCTGCTAGCCTGAAGAGACCGGTAGGCCTGTTGGTCTCATCGTGCGTCGGAGATGGAAACACCCACAGCCATTGGAACCCATCGTAGATTATTCCGTCTGCTAGGGAAAACGGGCAGCAGGAGACATGATGTTAACGAGATCATAGGCGATGAGAGCGTACAACAAATCCATAGCTTGTCTAAACGTTTGGAAAGTTGGGCCGAACACTTTGAAAACCGGTTTAATCAATCAGATTTATGACTTTCTCTTTCGGGCCGAGTGCATTTATCACTGGGCAGTCCCCTTGGATCAGCCCTCAGATTCAACAGTCAAACGTGTGATCCGACTGTTCAAATTGGATAACGGCACAAGATCAGATCGACTTCCTGGAGCGCTTTCTAAATTCGAGGGATCAACTCTGACGCATGATCTGCACAAAATAAGAGTGAAGCTGTGGGAGGGATAGAATGTCCCAGCAAATTGGAGTCGCTGCGTTAGCCCCAACTTTTAAGGGACGCTTACGGTCGGAATGCCGAAATCATAGAGGAATCAGTCGCATCAAAACTGCCTTTAAATAACTTGCGTCCGTCGTCCGCCATACAAAGGTTGCACCTGATGGAACAGCAAGCCCGGTTTCGTTGAAACCGAGGCTGCATTGACCACATCACGACCCATCGTAGTCGTGTTCCTCGACATTAGTAGTGCCATCGCTTCGGTAGATCGGTGTGCCCTTTAGGGCTGTCTACTCAGGAAAAGTGAGCTCGATAAATAGGTAAATGTTATGAGAGCGCTGTACGCGCATACTTCGACCCGAGGGTTCATGCCAAACTACCGTCACTCTTTACTATCTCCAGCGGTGTGAGACAAGCTTTCCCGATGTCGCCTTTCCTCCTTAGCTTCACCAATGACGAAGTCACGTAGACAACGTTCGCTAAACACGACCTACAATGCATGCACATACTCCAAGGTGACCGACTTCTTGAGTTGGAGTTTGCTAACAACATTACACTCATCTATCACAGCTCGCAAACGTGCCAACCTGCACTGGCTAAATTAGCTCTGGATATCAGTCGTTTCGCGTTATGTTTTGCACCCTCGAAATGCAAAATCCTTCTCTCAGATTGACAGGGATCCACCTCTGTGCTGATCCTTGGCGCTGATCAGCTAGAAATCGTCAAGGAATTCAAGTATCTAGGCAGTTATATCAGTGTCTGTGGAATAGAAGAGGTCACGCACCCTATAGCAAAAACTAGAGGCGCTTTTACCAGTCTCTGTTACCTGTGGCACAGGCGTGACGTCATTCTCACCCTAAAGGACAAAGTTTACAATTCAGCCGTTCATTCAACCATCGTTTACGGTCGCGAAACCTGTTCTATCAGAGCGACAGAAGTGAAGAGTTTAGGTACGTTCGACCATCACTGCCTTAGGAGTTTAGCTCATGTCTGGTGAAAAAAACCGCGTGAGAATTGAGTGCGTTTGGTGTCGCGCATTTGGTGAGGGAAGATCGAGTGAATCGCGCAGCTTCATTACATCAAGCACAAAGCCATGAGGGCTAGGTACGTAGTATGCAAACCGGAACACCTACTCCTGTGATGTAGGTTGTTTGTGCGACTGGGGTCTGGAGAGAATAAGAGGAGAGACCAACAGACGATCTAATCAAGTTGAACGAATATCTTCACTACGAAGTTGACCTGTGTTGAAGCTTATCGACTGCCTGGTTGGAGTCCGAAATACAATGAAAGCAATTGGTTAGACACACTTGCAGACATTGTCAGAAGCTGATCTCAGTGGCATTCGTGTTGAGTTCCATTGTCCGTCCGCATATGGTTAGCTTCCTCCGCCAACTGTTGTCTTAGTCGCCACGCGTAACATAATTGTTCGTTTTGTTGTTCCTTTTTAGTCTTTTCTATCTTCTAAATGAATTTTTACGTCACAGTAGCTAGGTACTTCCCACCTCTAGCGAGTATGTACAACGAATGAAGAAAGGAAGTAATGTTAGCTCATATTGTGTGGTATCATATTAAACAGAAACAATTCACTCGAGAGTGGTGCGGAACGGCGCAAATTGGTCAAAAGGTAGCATTTTGGCTGTTTAAAGCAGTTTCATCCCGTTAACAATTTGAAAAGATTGGAGAAAATACGACAGCTCGTAGGTGCGTGCATTTCGT